TTTTAATAAATAATTTTATCGTTGGTTGCGACTTGCTCAAATTAAACACAATACTCATATGATGATCATTTGAGATTTCAACTGCGGACGTTCTATCAAAAGTTATAGCCCAATTGCATATTATTTTTAGTCGGTACTCTCGTGGGTTAATTTTCGTAACTCGATGTAATTCTTTAATCAAGTCACAGTAACTATATGATTCCGAAATCATTAACGGCATCGTTACCCCTCTGACGTACATTGGCATATTATTCATTCTATAATTAATTTTCTCACTATAAGAGCAATCAATAAAAATTATATTATTCAACCTATGAAAAAGAAGATTATATCATTTAAATGCAAAAAAATTAAAAAAGTTTTATCAGGCCATTGAATAAGAGAGGAAAGTCCTACATGCAAATAATTTTATATAATTTTGATCAAAACCTTAAACCCCAAAATAAAAACCCTAAACCCTAGAAATGAGCATTCTATACCTTAGAATTTTAATTTCAATTACAACAATCAACACAAAGCATTCCAACCACCGCATAGATAGTGATTGATATTAAATTTCAAACCCTAGAAATTAGATTTTGATGAATCCCCTACGTTTAAATGTTGAAGAAAAGAGAAAAATCCTAGTTTTTTACATGTTAAAAGAGGAGAGAATGAAGAGAAATTACCTTAGAGATCTTAAGCAAACTTCCACGATGAATTTCGGCCACAAAATGGGGTTGGGAGAACCCAATAGGTGGATAAATGGGAGAGACCAGAGTATTTGAGGGAAAAATTTAACAGGGAGAGAAAAAATTTAACAGTTTAAGGGAAAAATGGGTTCGGTTGGTATATATAAGTGGGCGGGACCTACCACAAATAGTCGAGTTTGGGAACCCCGACTATTTGGTGACTTAGCCGATTTCCCATCTTTGAGTGTGGGGGAGTCTCTGCTAAATGGTCGGGGGTAGGAACCCTGACCATTTTGACTTGGGCCTGCGCAGGCTCTGCCAAATGGGCGGGGTTGGAAACCCTGATCATTTTGTGCGAGGCATCATAGTCACCTCCAAATGGTTGGGGTTGGGAACCCCGACCAAAATAGTTAGGTTTCACAGCCCCAACTTGTTTAGATGATCTAATCACACGCAAGTGGCGATTGGTGATCCTAATTAGTCGGGGTTACCAACCTCGGCTAATTAGGAAGTTCATTTTTTTAAAACAACCCACTTTCTGGTCACGATGCTGACGTGGCCGTAAACTGGGTCGATTTCTGTAATAAAAAGTGGAGTGAGTCGATTTTTTTTTAAAGTTTGGATTGGGCCGTTTTTGAAAATTTCTTCATATGGTGAGCGTCTAAAATATGCAAAAATGACAACCCTTCTGAGAGCCCATTCTTCAGGTCACTAGCTTTCGGATCTACCTACGTGCCTGTTCATGCATGCCTAAGCTTTTGAATCTGCCTACATGTAATCTAGAACAAAAAATGAAAAGCAAAAGCAAAAGCAAATACAAATAAGGAGCAAAATGTAGGCAATCTCGTATGCATGTGTGGACACAGGTCACGATTTTTGATCTCCGTGGGTGCATATTGTTCTTTGGCATATACTCGATACATTATTTTCATGGTGTGCCACCCATTCATTTGGCTCCATGGGCTTGTGCGCATTTGGGGCTGCCCCTGTTCTAGATCAATTAAAGAAAAGACACAAGAAATATAAAACTCAAAAGAACAGGACACGAGAGGCTCAATCCAAAAACTTTATCTCTAATAAATATCCTCTTGAGTCTGCCACATGGCAAGGGTCTGATCGAATGATGATATAAAATAAATGATGGTTCAACAATCTTTATGTATGTTTCTCTGTGTTTTCTAGAATATGGAGCCTAATTGAGCTCAGGATTCTCAAGATTTGGAAGCAACAATAAGAAGATTGCAGCATTATTTAATTTGAATAAAGAAGAAGGATTAAAGTAAATCCGTTTTTCAAAAAATAGGTTTTAGACTTGAGTTTTTGTGAAACTTGTTAATTAAAAAATCACCAACACTGGTGATGGCTGGTTATATGTACAAAAGTTGTTCAATATTCTTAAATAAAAATAGTCAAAATAAATTAAAAAGTAATGCTAATTGTACTATAAATTATGGTGATGGGAAATTCCTTTGAATCTTTGATTTACTAGACTGAAGAACCGTAGAAAGATTTTTTGCTTGACTTGCCTCTAAGGATGCGTCCTTGTTCTATAATGTGGGTGTATCATTTTGGAATCCAAGCTCCTTAAAAGCATGTTGAATGAATTGGGAAAATTCCTCATCATGAGAAAAATTTATCTGATTTGAATTTTAATGGTTTCGTCTGATTAAACTACTCTGTCTGCTGCTACTTCTATGGTTGTTTAATTTCAATCACTAAGGAGTAAGGACTTGTATGTCGCTTGTTGATGGTCTAAGGATGTAATTTGTTATATACTTCCAGAACTCTTTTTGCTTGTAGCAAAGCTAAAATTCTCCCTTCCAGTTCATTCTTTTCCAATGTCATACTCTACAGCAACAGCCTGCTTATATTTACATGGTTAATTATTTTCTTATGAAGAATCTCTTCTGATTATTCAGGTTTCCTTTATGTTATATAGGTTTTTCTTGACATTCTTTTCTCTGCTTTTGTATTCTTTCTGACTTACTTCCATTTTTGAGATAGACTGATGCAGTGTTGCCATTATTTGGCAATATGAAAAGGAGAATTATATATCTTTTTATTATGATTGTACTGCTACACTGATTTCAATTTTGAGCAATTATATGGGTTACTTTTTTGGCATGAACATGGTTGTTTATATGGATATTCCTCGCACCATTGGATTTCCAGATTTACTGACTTAAAATAAACAATTCTTGATTTTTTTTTTCCTGTTTACAAATTCTTTATTAGGCATTGCCCCTTAAAAGTAACTTACATCGGTCATGCACTGCTGTCAGCCTTGTTGGTGGTTTCAATTTTTGTGCAGAGAAGAGCTGGATGCGGGAATAACCTGAGAAATGTACCTAACATGAATTTACTTGGAAGCTGCATTTTGTTGACTGTCAAGATATTCTTTTTTTTAAGCATGCAGTTCAATTAGTTCATGTGAACAAAGAGCTTTCTCTTTTCCAAATGAATTCCTATGTCGCTGTTTGATGATGTGTGTCCCATGATTTACGTAGAGAGACGGTTATCATGGTCTTCTTTTTGTTTTTCCCTGTTGTTATGCCATAGAGATAACCAAGTGATAATCACATTCAACTAGTAGCCACGTGTCTCAAGCATACTACACAGATTCGACCCAGATACTCCGACTTCTCGTCCCTCTCGAAGGCTGAGATTTTAGGCGTCCCTTCTTGTCTGCCTCGAGGGTCGAGACGAAAGACATTTTTTGTTGACACTCTGGTAAAACCGAGACTAAAGGCAGTCATTCTCAGACCTCTCGCCGACAGCTATTTACCATCGCATTAAATGCATGGTTGGAGCCATCATTACCTCCTCCTCGAAAGTCTTAATGACTCGTCACACCTTGTCAGCACCGTACTCCCTCTGTCACCATCGCATTAATCACAAGGATGACTTGTACCACTAACAGCCGACACATGTAAAGTCTCAGTCGAATAAGCTGATTGCTTGGACTCGCTCGAGATTACATAAATACCCTCGTCAGCTCTGTATGAATAGGCACATCGCCTGCTGACTAAAGGTATGCAAGTTATGCACACTTAGAGAACTATATCAGTTCTTTTCTCCTCTTCAGATCACAACTAACTTGATCATCGGAGGAATCATTGGAGAACACAAGTCCGTTCCTCTAACGTGTTGCATATGTGCAAGACTATTTTCCTATCGGCGCATCAGCCATCAAAGGAGATCAAGGGACCCTAACCTCTTTGAAATCAGCGCTAAATCCTGTTGTTAATCATCTATGCATCAACACCAATGAAATCTTAGATGTATCCTTTGTGGTGCATGATATGCACATAGCTTATTTGGAATCAATAGTCATTTAGTATGTCAGTATCTATCAGATTACTTTGCTGAATGCTCATATTCTTGGATGTTTATTCTTTATAGACTTAAACTGTAATATTATGCTAAGTAAAAACTTAACCGTAGCTCATGCGGGTCTTTGGGTCATGTGAAAGGACCTCCAATGTAAAATGACTTTCTTGAAAGAATTAATAAATGGGAGAAAATAGGCACTTTAAATTGAAGAGGTTTGAATACTCGACCTCGTGAAATCCCTTTACTGAAAGCTTAAGCTAATCGGTGGTTTGGTTTTGAGCTAGCAATGGACTGAGCTAATCCCAATGGCATGAGTTGCATGCGAGGAGGCTTTCATGTACGACTTCTTCTGAAGTCCTGTCTTCTTTATTATGTAATATGGATCCAAGTGGCCCCTATATCAAGCGTACTCGACATTATCAATACCTAATTAGCATAAGATACTTCTTTTTAGCACCAAAAAAAATGAACCACTAACCCCCATATGCCCATCAAAATGTTAATATCTGGAGGAAATCAACTAGTATGTATAGTTGCTTTCTAGGGACTTGCAAGTTGACAAATATGGATTTAGGTTAATGGTGCCTATTCTCAATCAGATAAGATATGATGCTTTTGATCCTGTCTGATATGTGATGCATAATCAAATTATGTTGGAAGTATGAAAGTGACGGGTATGTCTAAATGTAGCTTCAAAGTAGATACACTTCTAATTCTTTCAAGCTAACAGAACACACAAACTAATATAGTTCTGCAGTTGCAATTGAATTATTAATTTGGTCTTATAGCTGATGCTATCAGAGTTATCGAAAGATGGTAACTATGATACGCATATTTCTTTGAGCTGTCATTTTTCTAATTAATCTGTACATTAACTGATCCTGAAGTGTGAGGGAAATGTAAACTAATCTTCTCAGTGGAAATATTTAACTGTAGTGCACTTTGAGGATAACATTGTAGTCTTAATATTATTATTCTTTTTCTCATTTGCATCAGGGTGGAGCAAACGCTGGACATACCATCTATAATGCTGAGGGAAAAAAGTTTGCACTTCATCTTGTTCCCTCTGGAATCCTTAATGAGGAAACCTTGTGCGTTATTGGAAATGGCGTCGTAGTACATCTTCCTGGTTTATTTAAAGAAATTGATGGTCTGGAGTCTAATGGTGTTACTTGCAAGGGAAGAATGTTGGTGTCTGATCGTGCACATTTGTTGTTTGATTTCCATCAAGTTGTAGATGGGCTACGAGAAGCTGAACTTGCAAACTCATTCATCGGAACTACCAAGAGAGGAATCGGGCCTTGCTATTCAAGCAAGGCTATCCGTAATGGGATCAGGGTTTGTGATCTGAGGCATATGGATACCTTTCATGATAAACTCGAGATTCTGCTGAAAGATGCAGCTTTAAGGTTTTCTGGTTTTAAATATAGCAATGATATGCTTAAGGAGGAGGTTGAGAAGTATAAGAGGTTTGCGGAAAGACTGGAGCCTTACATTGCAGACACTGTTCATGTTATGAATGAATCCATTACTCAGAAGAAGAAAATATTGGTAGAAGGTGGACAGGCCACCATGCTTGATATTGATTTTGGAACTTACCCTTTCGTCACCTCCTCTAGTCCTTCAGCTGGGGGGATCTGCACTGGACTTGGAATTGCTCCAAGATGCCTTGGTGATCTTATCGGAGTTGTAAGCAAAATTAGCTCCAATAACATTCCTGATGTGCTCTTGCTAAGGATCTTCTGTCTCTCTCTCTCTCTCCCCCTCTCTCTTCCTTTTTCCCCTTGTTATCTCTCCTTCTTACCTTACTTTGGTTTATTTCTTTCTGTTGTAGGTGAAAGCTTACACTAGTCGAGTTGGCTCAGGTCCTTTTCCAACAGAGATCTTGGGTAAAGGTGGTGATATTCTTAGGACTGCTGGGATGGAGTTTGGAACAACCACAGGTCGTCCTCGACGCTGTGGCTGGATTGATATAGTTTCCCTTAAGTACTGCTGCCAGATTAATGGGTTTTCATCTCTCAACCTCACGAAGCTTGACGTCCTTTCGGATCTTCGGGAAATTAAGCTGGGTGTTTCTTATAAACTACCAGGTGGAAAAAGACTCGAGTCGTTCCCTGCTGATTTATCTGTTTTGGAGCAGATACAGGCAAGTTTTTTGCATTTCAGATGTAGCGCTTTTTAATTATTTTGGTCTTCTCGAAGCTTGGTGTTAACTTTTAGGGTAATTTTCATATGTAAAAAACCCCTGAACTTTGGAGTATTTGGCATAGAACCCCCCTGAGCTGAACTTTATTAGTCATAGAAAACATCCTTGAACTTTCAAAATTATGCTAAACCCCCCTGAACTATTAGAAATTCCTACAAACGGCGTTAACATGCAGGTAAAAAAAATCTTAAAACTGACATACTTTACTTCTTACCTGCTTTTGCTTGAAAAGAATGATATAGATGTTAAATCTAGTTGATAGGATAAAAATTGTCCAAAAGTTGTCATATGTTCTGCGCGTGACGACTTAAAGTAACTGTTGTCACTTGTCAGTCATGTTACCTAAGTGAGATAAGTTTAATTAAACTTCTACGATTTTATAAATTTGGGGGTTTTTGTGCAACCCCCTCCAAAAAGTTCCTAAATGCTATTCATCGCACATAATTGATAGTAGACTAATTATGGTTAAATACTAAAGACTTTGTATCATGCAGGTAGATTATGAAGTATTGCCTGGCTGGAATACTGATATCTCATCCATAAGAAGTTATAAAGACCTTCCTGAAGCTGCTCGTCGATATGTTGAAAGAATAGAAGAGCTTGTTGGGGTACCAGTTCATTATATCGGTATTGGCCCAGGTCGTGATGCGCTTATTGTCAAATAAAATTGTCAAAACTTCGTCAAAGGGAGAAATTTTGTTTTCCTGACTATTTAACTAACAATAATTTCTCCCATATTGTAATTTTTTCTCTCAAGTGATGATGCTTATTACAAGATTGGACTAATGTTGAAAACTTGTTACGAAGCAAATTTTGGTAGTTAATTCTATGCTATAGACTATCATCTGATTAATCAGTGGTGTATCATGATGTGTTTTCTTGGCTTTTTGTTAACTTTTTCATGATTGGTTGATTGCGCAAGAAATCAATCTATTATCAGAGATAAGGTGATACAGGGAAGAGACAAATATTTTAATTACAAAATTTATCAGGTTAATTGCACATAGGCTCTGTAGTATTGCTCTTTTGAACTTACTACCTCCATAGACTCATTGTTGCATGTAGACCCTCAGTTAAAATTTTGATATGTGCAATTAAATCCAGATTTATACGGATATTCTATTTATGAAAAAAAATTAAAAGAAATAAAATTCCCTTCTATCTCCGTCAGTGAAACCCAATTTGAAAAGGAGGAGAAAGAAAACCATTCATTAGTGGGTCGGGTTCTTGTATGTAAAGATCCGGATCCTATAATAAGGTCCCCTGTCTCCTAATTGGACTCGGGTTTGTCCCCATTAGGCTTTCTATTTTCCCTCCTATTCTTACTACGATTCTGCTTCAGCTCTAATTCTCTCTTCTTCATCAACCATCAACTCAAATTTCTCTCTCCCGCTCGTTCATCATCCAGGGCTCGGCATTATGCGACAACAGTACATTATGCGAAGGCGAGCTTCGATTCAGAGGCTTGAAGCTGAGAGGATGATGCTCAGAGTTCTCCCAAGCTCTGTGATGCCCAACTATCTCGCCAAATTCCTCATGTTTCTAGTTCCAACTCGATCGATGTGGGCAATTTGCCTCAAAATTACCACCCGAGCAACCCCGCAAGCAGATGTTACCTCTATGGTTCTAGACATGACGGCAAGTGAAGATGGGAGCTCGAGGTTTCAGAGGTTGTTGCCTCGGTCAAGGCCGCTTCGTTGATCCAATCGATCTCGTTCGACATATTATTCGAGATGGATATGGGTATGTTCCTTACCTTCAGACTTACATCTAGTCTTCTTTATTTTTCGGTACTAGATTTTCTCGGGCATTTCCGAAGAACTGAGCCTGTCAAGGTGTTCGTTGATTCTGTCAAGCAATACCCTTGCATGCCCGATTGGGTCACCGCCGCTCTCGAGGGAAATGTGGTTGAGCTAATGATGCACCCTACTGGGTCTAAATGCATACTGCATTGCCTTGGAAACCATAAGTTACAGGCAGAAATTGGTAAGTTCTAAATTCTAAAGCTTTTACTCCAATGTCGATCATACATGCAATTGTTGTGCGCGGCGGAAGCTTTCTTGAGCAACACGAACAATAACTCGAACTAAACCACAACTAATACGCAAACACAACCACAACAAGAACAAACAATTTACGTGGTTCGGCAAGTTGCCTACGTCCACGGGGCAAGACAACCACAACAAGAACAAACAATTTACGTGGTTCGGCAAGTTGCCTACGTCCACGGGGCAAGGAGGGGAGGAGGGTTCTTACTATTAGAAATCAGAGAATACAAGTAGAGTTACAAATCTCTCAGATCAAACCCTAAAACAAAGCTCTTGATCTCTCACAACTCTCCCACAATTGGATGCAACAATTCTCTCACAAAGACTGCTCAAATTCGTCCTTGCATTAACCCTAAACAATCAGGTTTTGAGTTATATACAACTCAGAAACGAAACGGGTCAAAATCCAAAAGGCCCAGCCCAAACAGACTGCGGTCGACCGCGGCGGGCGACCGCGGCGGGCAACCGAGTCATCCGCGGTCGACCGCGGCGGTCGACCGCCACCAACTCCGAATCTCAGTAGGCTTCGTGCACGTTGGCGGTCGACCGCCAGACTTTCTGGCTGATTTCTTTGTTGTTTCCTGTAATTCTTCAGCAATTTTGTTAGCAGTTGCATCAGCCTAAAATTATTCATTTATTGCTTTTCTTGCAGGGATCTTGCGATCCAGTTTGCTCTGAAGATTGGTGATCATCAGTTTAGTAGAGAGATATGCAGAGTGTTGAAGAATCACGTTGAGGATTTGTCGACTGATGAAAATGGGAGCTATGCGATCCAAGCATGCATTAAATCGTCAGGAGGGTGAAGCATTAAGTTCGAAAGCTTATAGAATTCGACGAAAATAAACTCAAAAGACTTGTGACAGATCGATATGCAAATTATGTTATATCCAAACTGCACTCGAGATAAGCAAGGTGATTTTTCTACATAATTTTATTTCAATTTTTTGTTTCTTAAGAAATAAAATTCATTATCTTTTTTTTTCTTTTTTTTGCCTTTTCGTCGACAGGGAACTTCACTATATGATGAATTAGTTAAGGCGATTAGAATATTCTTCTCTCTGAGAGCTTATAAGCCGACTTTGACACGCTTGGAGAATCGCCTATTTTGGCTTATAAGCCACCAAATATGAGTTGGGATACTCCAGCTTAATTTTTTAGGCTTTAAGAGCCACGAGGTTTGACAACGTAAAAAAAACCAATTCATCTCTTATCATTTCACAAAAAATTCAAAACTCTATTTATCGCGCACTCTTACCCTCATCAAGTGCTTTTCGATCACTTTGACAATGATGATGTTTATAAGCAGCTCATTGTTTGGGTGGAAAGTTGATTTCATTGATGAGTTCATTACAACTTTAGACGTTTACAACAAACTCAAGAAAATAGCCTTTTTATAAGACTTTTAATCAAAAATTACAAATTTCTTTCAAACTACACACAATAGCAGTTTATCTCCTATTACTTGCGTGGAATCTTGGCCGTTGCCGGGGTTTATCCGTGGACCGCCTACGGATTGGATCCGGTTGACAGAAGTATTGATCAGAGCTCTTACTTCACCAAAGAAGAATTTGCTGAAGTACTGATATCGACCAAGTAAAATCAGTACTCTTCTCGAGATTAAGACCAAGCTTAATCTCAAGAAAAGGGGGTACGAGGCTTCAGATCCTTTGAAAGACTCCTTCTTTATGCCGAAGTTTGCCGGGATCTAACTAACCTCCTCTAAAATTTTGTGCTCCTTGCCTCTTCAATCTAACAGCACCTCGTCCTCTTGATCAAATTCTAGCCTTGTAGAATAAAGGCCTTAGGCTTATATTTATAGGGCCTCGGATGCGATTATTTGGATGAGAATGGGGGATTTGGTCTTATCTTCAGTTAATAACGGCCTACCCATACTTAGATACAATATTAAGTCAGTTGGGAAGCTTAGACACGAATAAATCCCGAAAATCTATCAACAAACGTGTTTTCGGGTAGTCGGGTGCGCTGCAGACCATGGCGACCCGTGTGGACGCGGGTCACCTCTTGGTGACCCGCGTGTGTGTGGGTCACCAAGTGGCAACCCACGCCCCCACACGGGTTCCGAGGTTTTCTCTTCATTTTTTGGTATTTCTCGACTTTCCCGATCTTGTATTTCATGTCGTTTTGCGTATTTGGTTGTCTTGTTGACTTGTACGCTTTACTAACTTGCTTCATGCGCTCGTTAGCTCCTTTATGGTACTTGGAGCTGACTGACAAGTGCGACGACCACTTGGAGCTGATCGACAAGCACGACAGCCACACAGATGATCATTCTTGACTCGGATGATGATGTTCATCGTCTTCTCTTCGTCTCGAGCTGCGTACGGGAACCTATAGGTATTTTTAGACGCCTACAGATACCCCCTCCAAAGTGTTTCAGCCTTATTCTTTTATAGAGGAGTCTGAAATACTTTTGATATGATACGCCCGATCTTCAATTTTTTTGGATTTCTTCAGCTCTTAGTTTATTTAGTGTTTTATCGAATAGCTGAAATTCTTCCGGTACTACGTTTATCGTTTGACCGTTATCGAAACCTCAAACTGAGATTGATGTGTTAATATCTGAATCGGTTCTTGTCGTTGAACTGACTTCTGAACAGATCGTCTTCGTCGGGAGTTTGCGTTTGAATACGATCGAATTCCTGGAATAATTCTTTCATCTAAAATATCATTCCGAGCCTTGTTTTGACAGAATTATTGACGTGTCGACCGCCGTCAACCTTTGTTGTAGTGTGAACACAAATAAACCTTATTTTGGCAAGAAATCACTAACGCGCTGACCGACGTTGACTTTCACTATAACGCGTGACAGTCCCAAGTGTAGAGGCTGCAATGCCCACTATTGAGGCTTGGTTCTTCTGCATGTATGGATTTTACCTTTACGTCATGTTAGTTATTTACTTAACCACGGGGGAGTTTTGGTTGTAGGATCAGCTATTGGAGCTGATACGGCTATCATTGCAAATGCTTTCAAAGTTCCTCGTGGAGACTTCGGCTGGAATTGGTGTTGTCTTAGGTGCTCAAGTCACGCGACCAACTGATAAAGCTGGTACGTCAATGACTATCGAGCTTATAGGATTTTTAACAAATCCTCAGCTATCAACGGATTTGATAAGCCTTTATCGACTACCGTTTGAGTCGGGCTAGCATGTGAATTGTTTAAGTCCGTTCCGTATGTAACGTTGTGCTAAAAAAGTTGACTCTTTTAGTGGTACGACGTCGAATACGAAGGCTTCGTCTTTCTCACGGGAATAGACTACCCGACAACGCGTGTTAAGCGTTGACTTATCCCTACTTAGAATTCGGGATAAAATTCTCCAGACTTGTATTCTGGTGTTTTTTTCACTCAGTATTCAGAATAAAATTCCCCTGAATTTTTTAAGACCATGGTGACCCGCGTGGACGCAGGTCACCTCTTGGTGACCCGCGTGTGCGTGGGTCACCAAGTGACGACCCGCGCTCCCACGCGGGTTCCGAGGTTTTCTCTTTGTTTTTTCGGTATTTCTTGACTTTCCCGGTCTTGTATTTCCTGCCGTTTTGCGTATTTGGTTGTCTTGTTGACTTGTACGCTTTACTAACTTGCTTCATGCATTCGTTAGCTCCTTTACGGTACTTGGAGCTGACCGACAAGTGCTGGAGTTGACCGACAAGTGCGGCGGTCACTTGGAGCTGACCGACAAGCGTGACAGCCACACGGATGATCCTTCTTGACTCGGATGATGACGTTCATCGTCATCTCTTCGTCTCGAGCTGCGTACGGAAACCTATAGGAATTTTTAGACGCCTACACTCCTTCGCCCGGCGCCCGACAATTGAAGATGGAGCGTATGATCCACTAAATCTACCAAAAACTCCCCGTTCATGTTAGATTAGCCGGGGAGCCCCACGCTACAACCTCCCCGATCGACACGCTTTTGTACATAATAAACAGTTTGGTTGACAATAACGGTTCTTTGATTATCGATTGCTTTTGCTCTCCAATCAAAAAGCAATCGATAAGGACGCATCACAAAATATGAGCAACAATCAAACGGTACAAAAGCTTACATCATGTTCAGGCCTACGTTAGACTAGCAGGCTAAACATAATAAGAGTTTTAGACGTTCACACACAAAAAAATAATTTCTTCCTTCATAAGTCACTTTCAATACCGCCTCATCTCTTATTATAGGAAAAAGAACCCCCATGTGAAAACATCAAGGCATTAAGAAATTTGAAATTTTAATTTTAGTATGGATAAACAAAGAGTAGAAGGATAATATCATGTGATATAAGGAGGTGTTTGTTTCACCCCTTTTATGGAATAGGAATAGGAATATGAATTGAATCTGAGAGAGACAAAATCGTAAATAAATGATTATTTATGAATTCTATTCCTGAGTTTGGTTCACAATAAATTTATAGATTTTGAAATCTATAAAGTAAAAAAAGTAGGGTGATTTTATAGAAACACAAATCCTAATGATTTGAGAGTATTTTGGGTAAAAAGTTAACACACTCGTACTATTCTCCCTCTTTTTTTTTGAATTCCGTTTCTTCACAAACTCATATTATTATGAGACCGAATCATATTCTGATTCCAAACCAAACTAAAGAATATGAATATGAGGGTTTCTATAAAGTTGGATTCTATTTTTTCATGATATGAAACAAACATAGAAAGGGGGGAAAAAGATTCCATGAATCGATAAATTTGTCTTAAAATTTTTTATTGATTTGACAGGAATCCATTAAAAAAAATCGGAGTCTCCATTAAAAAAAATCGGAGTCATAATGCATATTCTTGTCTAGGGGTGGGCAAAAACCGAAACAAACCGGTTCAACCAAAAAAACCGCCCGAAAAAACGGATCGGTTAACCGAACCGAATTAAATGGATGAGAAGAAGTCTCTAAACCGCCCGAACCGAATTAAACCGGTCTGGATCCGGTTTGAACCCCTGAACCGCCCAAAAAAAACCGAACCGAATTCTTAAACAAAAAGTAACTGCGAGCTTTGGGTGTGAAGAAAATTTATGGCTGAATGTTTAGCATTTAAGAATTGTGGGGTGGAGTTTATACTAACATATATTTGAGTACGCTGATATAGTTAAGTGAGATTTCCGTAAATCAATACAAGATGTTGAGGTTGAAGGATAAATTTAGTGTTTTGGTCAAATTTCAGTGATAACATGAATACAACTTGCAGGTGATGGATATCAAATTAACCTATAGTATAGGCTGTCAAGGATATAAGATAATTCTTGATGAGAAAAAGGCAACTAAAAATTAACGAAAATCATCAAAAGGTGTGTGTGCCTGCCAAACATTGTTCTTTCTCTAAAAAAGGCTACATAATTACATGGTCCTCCTAGTGTATTAAGCTAGTTATATTCAGATCATACAATTTGATTAAGTGGCTTAGTACAGTTTTGATTGTTTCTTTTCAGTTTTGATTGCTTCTTTTCAGTTTTGGATATAACTAAAACTTACCCAGATTTTTGTGAAATGGAGTTAATTCGGTTCAAAACCAAAACCGAACCGAACCGAATTTCGGTTGGGCCGAATATTCAGATGAAGGGGAAAAAATCTGGATCTGGATGAGAGTTTTGAGAATCCGAAAAATTCAGATTGGATGCGGATTGGGCTTAAAACCGAACCGAACCGAATACGCTCAGCCCTATTCTTGTCCACTATTGAACCAAACACCCCCTGACATGATGTAATGAAAATCCTAAAGTTTCCTACTCTTTTGGGCATGGAAT